AAATAAAATAAAGAATAAAAAAAAAAAAAAAAATGGAAACATGAACTTCTGAAATGCAAATCTCTGCTTTTACATAGAACTACTTTTGAAAGCCCTGATACCTGATTAATGTATTTATGGATTGAGCTATATCATCTCAGACATTTCCTTTTCCTCTGCAACAAATACTGTAATGCCCCCACCCTCAGGGTCCCCCTCCCGCCCGGTTCTGGAAAGGGGAAAGGGGTTTAAACTTACCTTTTTCCAGCGCTGGGCGGAGAGCTCTCTGCCTCCGATCCTCCCCGCTGGCTGAATGCGCACGCGCGATAAGAGCTGCGCGCGCATTCAGCCGGTCACATAGGAAAGCATTCTCTCACTGTGAAAATCTCATTGACAGCCACTAGAGGAAATAGGGGAAGGCTTAACCCATTCACAAACATAGCAGTTTCTCTGAAACTGCTATGTTTATGAAAAAAAGGGTTAACCCTAGCTGGACCTGGCACCCAGACCACTTCATTAAGCTGAAGTGGTCTGGGTGCCTAGAGTGGCCCTTTAACATATATAACTACTTCTGAAAGCCCACATACTTTGTTTGGGTCAACTGTTTTTACAGTGCGTACCATATCGTCATATACCTCCCAAACATTTTCTTTTCTTCTACAACATGAAATGTAATGTCCTCCTTGAACATGCATTATAACTGACCCTAGTGTATAAACCATATCTGATATGGTCACCTCATTGTGAAATTCAGAGAGCCATTGCTTTGTTGTTGGTAAACCAACACGTGGCTCGATTATGAGATGTGGTCCAGGTTTACAGATCATTGTAGTACGCTGATTGCAATCGGGTGAACATGGTCTGTTAATGACCTTAGAGGAGCTTTGTAAAGCATGCTCAAAACCATGTAATCTTCTGCATTCAAACTAATAATTCCACCATGAATTGTAAGGCTTGGGTAAACGTCCACTAACAACTGGGCTCTCTTTTTATACGTGTTTTGATTTAAACCAAATTCAACAAAATATTTAACACCACCAAAAAACGGGTTTTCCGAATTATTTATGAAGTTTCTGTACAATTCGTAATCAACATACATGGTGGACACACAATGCAGCAGAGAATCAAATGGACAAGTATTATTGACCTTATATATCGGCAGGGCCGTCTTTAATAACGAATGGACCCTGGGCAAGTGTTTGCTTGGGCCCCCTGTGCCCTGCCGCTCTCGCCCCTCACTCCCTGGTATGCAATCACGGCATCCATCCCAACGCAGTGGCGGTACTAAAGTAGAATGAATTTTATTGGGACCCCTAATTGCAAGGTTGGACTAAAGGTAGAACCCCATTTGTCGTGCAACTCCAACAATGCTTTGACAGCTGGGACTCTACCAATTTCCCATGCTTGCAGGGTTGTATTTAGCACTGAGCCATGTTAGTATGTTTGAATGTAAGCATGTGTTTGTATGGAGTATGTTTGTGTGAATGTGTTTGTATGTGGTACTGGAGTTTGAATGCAAGTGTGCATTTATGTGTAGTGTTTGTTTTGAATGTAGGAGTGTGCTTGTATGTAGTGTTGACGTTTCAATGCAGGAGTGTGTTTTATATGTAGTGTTGAAGTTTGAATGGAGGGGTGTATTTGTATTTAAAGTTGCGGCTCAGATGCACAGGTACACACTGACACGCAAGCAGATCCACAGATACATACACTGACTACATATAGATAAACAGGCACATACACTGACAGACATACTGACACAGGTACATATATTGATACACACACAGACACATACACTGGTAGACGTACTGACAGACATACTGACACAGGCACATATACCGACATACTGACACACATACAGACACATACACTGGTCAACATACTGACACACATACACTGACAGAAATACTGATACCTACACACTGACAGAGATATACTGACACCTACATACACTGAGAAATACTGACACACACACACACAGGCACATACACTGACACACATACAGACTGATATACTGACACACACACACACAGACATACTGCACACAGACAGATATACTGACACATGCATACACATGTACTCCAACAGACATACTGACGCACTGACAGACATACTGGACATACACATACTGACACACACAGATATACACACACATAGTATACTGACACACAGACAGACAGACATACTGACACACACACACAGACATGTTGACACACACACACACTCACTAACACACACATACACTAACACACAAACACATACACACACACTAACACACATACACACAAACACACATTTTTGTGGAATAATCCCCTTGGCCTCCTTACCTTTTGGAGTGCTGGGGAGGATTATTTCCTGGGGTCCAGTGGTGGTGCTGGGCTCCTGGGCGGGTGGCCGGTCGGGCAGGCGGGCGCGCGAGGGAGCACTCAGTGCTTCCTCTTCAGCTCCCTCGCGCCGCGTAGGGATGCCGGAGCCGGAAGATGACGTCATCTTCCGGCTCCGGTATCAGTGCGGTGCGCGAGGGAGCTGAAGAGGAAGCATTGAGTGCTCCCTCAGCTCAGCCTTGCCCGGGACCGCTACCCGCCTGGGCCAGGACAGCGGGGCCCACGGGGCCCACGGGGCAGGTGCCTCGGGCCCCCCAAGAGAAACTGGGCCCGGGGCAGCTGCCCCGTTTGCCCCGCGTTAAAGACGGCCCTGTATATCGGATTTTTTATTTTGATGGTGTTTAAAATACTTCCATTCTGCAGAACACCTAAAGGTTTTCGTATATAAGGGTTATCAATTATTTGGCAGATATTTGGATATGGTGTTAAATATGTCTGTCTTTTCTTGAAGGGCTTGTTCAATGTTGCAAGAAAATCCTTGGACTTCAAAGATTGCATATCAACTTTATTTTCTGCATCGGAATTATTTTAAATTTTAAATTGAGGTTTGGTTTTACCCCGCCAACATTTTTCTTGCCTAAGCTCCAGCACATTCTCTTCTATGTGCTTAGTTTCTGAAACACTCTTTTGTTTACCAGATTCTTTAGGAGACAGTAGAGTGTCCGACTGTTTGTGTTCACTAACCTCTTCTTCTTCATATGTTTTTACTTGCTGACAATATTTTTCATGTCCAGACTCATTAATGACCTCTTCCCTCTGCACTGTTGAACTAATAATTTCTGGAACATGTACAGCAGCTGCTATTTTTGAACTTCCACAAAGAGCTATTAAATGACATGCAACAAATTTGTCAACTCGCATTGGTGTTTTATTATGCTGAAGAATGGAGTTCTTCAGATGGCCAAAATCTCCCTCAACTGATGCAGAAGAGGCTGTATTATTTGGTGATTGAAAAACTGGTTGCATTACAGATGTCCAAATGGGAAAATATTTCAATAGATGGACTAAATTCTGAGAAAAATTTGGACAGAAATAAGGGTTAGGTTGGTTCCCCTGTTCTAGACTTGTTCTTTCTGCTTCCTGAACTATGTAATTTAGCCAACCTGACAGTGGTCCAGAATAGTTTTTTTCTTTTTCATCACTAAGTATTTCAGTGTCATCAGAATTCTCCATGTATTTGTCAATAATTTCAAAGTTCCCAGTCTCGATGCAATGACAAAGGTATGCCTTTGATGTTTCATATTTCGATGTTTCAGAGACACAGACTTTACCTGTTGTCTCACATACAGAAAGGATCAAAGTACTGAGAACTAGGTGTTTTAGAATGTCAAACGAGTCACACTTGACCATGAGTCCAACACAGCAAATGTAGAACTTCCTAACAAGTTTTGCTTTTTTTGGATAGCACTTCCACCGACATACTATTTTAATCAGATGGGCAACATCTCCACGTATATAGCATTTGGGTTTCTCAGTTTTTTCCCCAAGTAGAATCAACATGCAGATCTTCAGGTAGGTGTTCAGGCTGCAGTCATTCACTGCTCGTGAGATAGCACCAAGTAATGCACAAGAAAAGTCACAGACACATTCTTTAGGCAATTTCTGTACATCTTTTATCCATTTTTCCATCCAAAATGTTATAGTTGGAGTATCTTGTGTTTCGCTCAACATCTGACACACACTCATTTGTGTATTCTCAAAGTTGATCACAATCTCATATAAAAAAATGAGCAGACAATTTATTTTCTCGTTTTAGTTTTAATACCAAACTCCCTGTGGCATCTACCTGGATTTTGGAGAAGGAAGCCTTTGAACAATACATTTTATAAATATATATTTGTTCCTTTGACCAGTAATGAACAAAAAAAGTGTCATATGATATAGTATGAATATCTCCTGCATACTTATGAGTACTTTTCATCTGAGAGTGATAAAACCGGATCTTTCAACTTAGGTGTACCAAACATGCGATCCACAGCTTCCTGTCTGGCATCTTGACAAATTCTTAATGATGGCATGTTGGGTGGCTCCTTTTCTCCAAATGTAATTTCAGAATCAAGTTTTTCTCGTCTCCAATTGGAGGGTAATGTTTTTAACATTTCTTCTCCAAGTTTCCTTCTCTTCTCACCTCTCAACTGATTTTTTTTTAAATGTGGTATGGGTCTTGTGTCAGGGGCTCGAACATGAAGAATTAAAGGGTTACCAAGATCAGGTTCCTGTTCTGCAGAAATATGCACTACTGCTTTGCACTCTGTGCAATGCCCATTTGCAGTTATGAATTTTCTTGTTTTGTCTTCACCTATACGGACTTTGTTCCTCTTAAAGGAGAAAGCACATGGGATTCCATGCTGCTTATAAAGCACATCTGCGATTGTAGCAGTCCATGTGGTTTTTTTTTAAGCACCTTGCGCCTCTTCTTGCAGTTACCCTCATTATAGATCACTGTTTTTGGCTCAATTTCTAAATATTTTTCATAAGGTATTGATATTTGCCATAGAAGTGTTGGTTCATTTCCTTGCGTGTGTACAGAGA